TGGGGGCATTTTTTGGATTGGGCCGGAATTGTGTACAAAAATCATACTTTTGTTTTTTTGGAAGGATCTGGTTGTCTTGTAATATTCTCTTTCACTATTTGGAATATTCTCAGCTTAAATATGAGCAGTCATTTAGTTTTACTCCTGTTTATCATAAAATGCCTGGTATTTCAGAACCTTCTAGACCCCAAGACGGCTGATACTTTGCATTAGGGTACCAATGGGCTGGAGAGGTATGAAACAGCTTCAGTAAAATTTGCAAAATAGTTTAAGAAACATTTATTTTTTAAAAATCTTCCATCATGGTCTTGTCAGGGGTACTTGAGGAGCAATCAGATTTTATACTTCCTGAGCGTGCACTGAATATTTTTGTCCCCTTCAGAAAGTAAGATGGATCTACTTACTTTGCTTATTTTTGCATTGAAATTGTAATGCATTAATTTCTTACTTGTGATACTAAGGTTGCAAAAACCTAAGAATACATACAGTAAAGCAGGAAGTATTTATAAGTTGACTTTTGAAGTGCAATAGAATATAGACAATGAAACTGCACAACTGCGGTGTCTCGGTTTGCAATGCAGCAGAATTTGGAATTCCTGTGATAACCTATGCTTTAAATGGAAAAATACGGAACGTCTCGCCTTGACAACTTTTCATGCAGACATGCTAATTCACACTTCTTGCTCACAGAAAAATTGAAGTCTATACGAGCCTAATCGAACACCACAATAATTTCAGTTGATTTTACGATGCGAGAATTTTCCTACATACTAACGTTTGGATGACATAATCAAAAGCACCTTGTATCAGGAGAGGAAGGTTATATATGGGAAACCAAGCTCTAATTATTTACCAAAAGTATAGGTTGAACTAAATGTCTATGTTGATAAAGATTTTTCTGCGGACAGGAAGTTCGAATTCGGGTACCTAATAGTTAAGATGCAAACTAAACTTGTTTGGTTCTCCCTCATGAGTTGATTTTGGAAATAGTCGAAATGTTCAACATGTTCTGCAAAAAATTTAGATGAAAAAACATGTGCTATTGTGCTTACTTTCCTACCCTGCCTATCAGTCAATTGGAATACATTTGGCAATTAGGTACGAACCACAATTTCTGGCTCATCCATAAAAAATATACATCTGTAGGGAAACTAATGGTACATGGGTTGTTTGGAAACTGAGCTAATAATAGTAGTCTCTCATGGCAAAATGTAGACCGATTAGTTGAAAATTTCCACATTCAACTCATGAGGGAGACTTGAAAGTGATTCGTAATGGTTACTAGCGTTGTCGATATATCACATCAATTACCTAAGTCAAAAATCTTGGCATATCTTCAATTTTAAGCCGGAACAAGAACATGTGCCCTTACCCATAATCCTAAGGAATTATTCTAAACCAAAAAATTGACAAAATTTAGAGAATTGAGAGCAGAATTCTGTTCGGAGAAAAACTTTGAATTAGATACGAGAAATGATAACTGCTTCAAGTGCGGGGTCTTTTACCAAACAGGATTCTGCTTCATTTTTGTAGTTTTGATGATTCTAAAAATCAAAAAAATGAATTAATTTAATGGGTTTGTGCACGGGGGTGTTCATCCTTTTTTTAGCTTACTTAATATTGAAAATCTGTCAAGATTTATGACATAAATGGTGCATTCTATCACATGCCAGTTCCATCATATCAGGAACCTTGAGAAGTCACTTTAACACTAATCAAACCCAAGGGATCAGTAGTTTCAAACTTCCTGCTGGTGAAAAACAGCTAATTCACTTTACGCCAATCCGTCACCAGACAAATACTTATCATTTGAAGAATAACTGGACATTAGTTCCACACAAATTTCCCTCCTCCTTGGAACCATATCGCTCATTGCCTTTTCAAAAAGGACACAGCACAGAGAGGAATGATTGGATACATCATAAAATACATTAATTTGTATTGAGTGCCCAATCTGCTTAAAATAGACTTCGATTTTTGATAGAGGAGTTAGAATTCAGCAAAAGCACCAAAGGCGCTGGATCCGCTTTCTCCAGTTACTATTGGTGGGGGTTGATGAGTCCCCTTCGTGTTCCCTGCACAAAATTTCAATGAATATACCGCGCCGGAAGGCGAGTTCATGTTTCTTAAGTTGTCAAGTGATCCACTTGGAGCTGAGCAAACGAAAGGCAAATTTGACAAAATCATTTATGTATTTACAGGAAGAAAAAATCAAGTAGGACACTTGTCATAGAAAGGTAACAGTAAAGCCAACAAAATTAGTATAACTTTACAATTTGAATGGATCCAATCCAACCCACGGTTTCAATTCTTTCCATGAAGCACTCCTGATTTTCTTCACTTCGCGATATAAAGCAGGCTGACCAATGAACGGGTCATAATCAAAGAACTCGGCTTTGTCAGCTGTTCTCTCACGGAATATGTTCCTTCTATGGCCAGAAACCAAGCTGTCTGCTGCAACAAGAAGATGTTTGGATTTCGCCTTCTTGGCAAATAAGCATGATGCCAATCGCATTGTCCTGAGTGTAAAATATTTCACTTGATGGAGAGTTTAGATTGGACCTTAAACGGAGAGATGTTTGGCTCCAACACGCTGTGTCCAACAAAAACCAAATGATACTCCGTCACCTGGATGCGCTGCTTAAATTCCTGAAATTGCTGAAGTCCCCTTTACAAGGGGAGAAAAAAGGATCTTGTAATAATAGGGAAAAAATTAAGGAAAGAATTGATCACATCGATACGACATACGACAAAGTGATGGTGATGCACCAAAGACTATGCCAAAGACTTGACCAAAGACATTGAATCACGTAGACCGTGACTAGACTAAAGTGCCTGTATAGCGAGAGTATAGACCAATGTGAAACTCCGAAAATCCATCAGGCCTTCACCGATGCCTCCGCGAATGAAGTTAGGGCCCAGAAATGCAGCCAACCTATGAATTTCAATTATCCAGAGCGATTTATTAATACAACTGTTACGAACCATCGTTTATCAAGCACGTATTTGACTTAGTTTTTGCATAAATTTACTCATTTTTGTGGAAGAACGCTCATTTATGTACGTTCTTAGCCATCTTCGTTAGAATTGGAATCTACAGACTGGCAGTGAAATTTTGTGCGTTAGAAGTTGGTTAGAAGGGTGGCTGCACTTTTGGGCCCTAAGCCCTCCATGACACCGCAATCACACGCTGAATGTGGGAGCTGAATGTGGCTTGAATGTGGAAGTCATCGGCCCGATGCCTGAATTTTGCGCGTCACGCGCAAAATTCAGCAACGATTCTCAGCAACCATCGGACCTATTTTGAATTTTTCTGAACTATTCGAGTAGATTTGATACACATCTGGTTGAAAATAACTCGAATTTGCTATGTTTCAGCCGTTGGGCGATGACTGCCGACTTCCACATTCAGCTGCTAAATTCAGCTTCTGATTGCGGCATGAGACCAATCCGCGGATAAAAGACGGAGATGCCAGATTTCCGCCATTTTGAACTTTGACCGGCCGCCATTTTGTCAAAAATTAACATTTTGACCTGCGGTTTGCGCCAAAAATTTTCTTTTTTTATTATCTTTCGAATGAGGTATCACAAAAGGGGGGTTGCCATTTGAAAAAAAAAAAAGTTAGCCCCCGCCCCCCTTAAGGGGGGGCCGCCCGCAAAATTTTGAGGGGACCAAAAAGTCGCTACCTTAAACCGAGGAACATTCCCAAAGTTTCAAACTTCTATCTCAATTAGGAAAAAAGTTACAGGGGTGGTAGGTGACTTTTGGATAACCCTGTATGTGATAAGCAGTGGCGGCAAGTTGTCGTCTCCAGGTACTACAAATGTTAGCCGATGTATAGAGAGGTTATCACCAAGGATATCCTGCATTCGTTAGCATCTCAATTTTATCAATCCAATGAAATAGTAGCATATAGATGCATACCTTCTGCAGAGGTCAATATGAAAGACCTTGATTTGAAGAATTTTATCCAATTACAGGCAAATTAGACGATTCAATCAACTTCTGACACAGAATCAAGGAGACTTGCTAATAATCAAATTGACAGTAATGTTTGAAGTCAAGTATCTTTGATTTTGTGCCACTGAGTTGCTTTCATTATACTCGTTCAACAAGGGGCAACAATGGAGTGAAGCATAGCTTCTTTAAGTAGACACATACGCACAACTGACGGGTGAATGTGAAAGCCAATTTTCCAATATAAAGCATTACAAGTCTATAGAAACATCGAGGCTTTATGCACCAGTAGCATGATACACTGAGAAGAGACACAGCAACTCCAGAGAAGTTCGGCTGCTAGCAAAATTTTAGGAGAAAGTGGAAACGCAAATTCATCCCCACAGATTGAGACCCCGACAGACATCATCATATTGAGAGGAAGGATGATTTTCTGGTGGATAGTTGCTGAATCTGATTAACGAGAAATAGTATCTAGGACTCACTATAGTGGAATATCATCAATCATTCATGAACCATTACTTGAAAAGATCACCAGATCAGGGTAGATCAGGGCCGCTGGGAAGAAATAACAGGTTGCGATCTGAGTACTTACTGTGACAACTAAATTTATCAAGAGTGCGGGAATCATAAAAGGCTCATATAGAAATGGATCCAGTTATCTTCGGCTTTGATAAAATAGAAACACGTATCGATTAATCTATCTTATTCTTAATGGTAAAATATTTAAATTTTAAAGCCATAATAGCAGAAATATAACCTAAAATTTTGTTTCTGGAGTCGGCGCTCGCCATCCACCGCGCGGTTCTACGATTTGTATTCAAATTCAAATGATTTAAGAAGAATTGACATACTCTCTTTCTTTCAATAAATTCTCCTTTCGAAGTCCATATAAGTCTGCAAACGTTTCAAAAGTTCCATTTATGAAGTCTAAAGGTTCTAACTATCTCTAGTTCAATGGGTTTTATCCTCCCATAACTTCCACAGCCGTGTCCTTAGGTCCGCTTCAAAAATGACGTTTTTAGCGATTTTTTCCCTTATGCCTCATTTATTCAAAAATTCCTTGAGTTGGGCCCTGCATTATAATTAGTAGTTTCAAAATATCTGTAGTTTTAGAGGGTTCTTTTCTACGGTTATAGCTGTGGGTTGTTCTAAATGAACACGCCCACCTTCCGCGGCCGACCGTTTCGCGGGCCCCGTATCTGCTCAACAATTCCATCATCGTCATGTTGTGGGGTCTAGAGTCCCTTTATACCCAGAGTAACGACAACTCACTTTTGGTTGGGCCAGGACTGGGCTGAAAGTGGCCTAAAAAAAAATCCAATTCTGATTGGTTCTCGCTCATGGAGGCCGAAACTAGTGCACCAAGATGGCGGTACCTCGAATGTGAACAAGAATAATGAAAATATTACCTAATTGTGGTTTATCAAGAGTAAATTGTTATTTCCATCGGTCTAAAATGAAAATAGATTAAGAAATTATTCACAAACCAATCTAATTTTCGTTTTAATTGATCAATTTGTTGATGTTGTTGTTTTTGTGTGACAGACATCGCAGGATTCCTGATCCTTATCCCTCAATATCGTTCGTTTGAGTGCACTAGTTTCGGCCTCCATGGCCAGCCAAGGTCGGCTGCCAGTCAGCTGATAATCGAGTTGTCGTTACTCTGGGTATAAAGGGACTCTAGTGGGGTCCAAAATTTGTCGTTAAAGCTTAATAACTTTTTTAACATTTAACTGAATTCAACAAACGAGGGCATTACGAGTAGAGCTGAGCATATTCTACCCAAATATTATAGGATTTTTGGGCTTTACTCTACGACCTAATTAGCAGGAGAGCTAAATGGACCGCAAACCGTGCAGAAAAACCCCGATCGAGTTTCTTCATGTATAACTAGTTAGGCAGCAGCCACCCGTCTTTTTTTTTTTTTNTTTTTTTTTTTTTTTTTTTTTTTTTTTTTTTTTTTTTTTTTTTGTCGTCAAATTTTTAGGGGGAGTTTTTTAGAATTGGGCCGGGGTGGCTACCCGCACCTAGAATTTTTTTAAGTGTGTTATACCTTCTCAAATGTAGAGCAATTAATGGTGCCAAAGAGAGGAGAACACAAAATCAACCATTTAAAACAGAATGTAAGCTTGGTACAGGGTCCTTACTATTCAAAGAAAATAAGATAGTCAGGGAAAGCCCCCCCCCCCAAAAAAAAAAAAAAAAAATATATAGAATTTCATATTAGTAGGAATATTTTTCAATGCTAAACTGAAAAGTTTCCCCTATTTATAACCTGTTCCGCTTATTATTTTGTCAGGACAATATGTGTTGTAGTGCCTAATTTCTACCCCTGTCTAGAGGTCCATTATGAGCTATCCAAAACCCGTACAATTTTGAAACTGAACAAGTCTTTTGCGACAACGAAGTAGGTGTACTGGGAGGATATCTCAGATGATCTTTGAATTGAAATGATCATATTTTTAGTTATACTTTATTTTTTCATTCCGGTTTTTTGTGCAATATTTCACCACGTACATGTTCAACCCTGAGACTCAACAATAGGGAGGACTCAAGTGCATTGCTGAGCTCCATAGGATTAGGAGAAACTTAAAATCAGCGTCTACTACGGAAACTTGAAGCTTTCGAGGTTCAACAAAATAGTCGAAGAATACATATCTGCAGTTGCAGTGTTGCAAATCTCTGTTTATATTTTACTCTATTAAAAGAAAAGCAGTAAAAAATTTCGCTTTTTATTGTCTTTATTTTTAAAGAAATAATTGAGGAAACTTTTGGAGAAATATTTTGGTCCGTCTCCCCCCCTCCCTTGCAAGAAACAAAACATAATAGGCAATTATTTAATATTGCGAAGTAGATGCACATTTCTACTTCAGCCAAAAATATGATTAAATTTTCTGTTGTTCTACTCTATCTCTCAGGGAGGGCTATTTTGCCCATCAGTTGCATACAGTTGTGCAAAACCTGATCACTACGAAGTTGCAAAGAAATAAAGCGAATATAAAATATGAAAAGAAAGTTTGTTTATTACAACCTAAAAAAGTTACAGGTCAGCCTGTGTTACTCCCTACCGGAGGACACTACCTGAAGCTTTCAGCTCATTGCAAAAACTGAAAATAAATAGGAAGAGTTCACAATACAAAACAATTATTTTTCTTCCAGAATCTTGGTTGTTGCAAGAAGTAAATGAAACAAGCTCAGCAAGAGAATACCTAAAACAAAAATTGGTGAGCACAGCTAACTTACAAAGGATAAAATCTTTATCACATGAATATAAGTTTTTCACTGGCAAAAAATTCAGATAATTAACTTTGTACAATTAAAGACCATGTAATACAAAAATTCTTCAAAGGTCCATGGTTGCTGAGTTAAGCTGATCACTGAATTCGGTGTAGAGCCTTTGCACTTGCAAGGAGGAAGCTGCTTCATTCAAGGCTGAGCGCAGGAGTTCATGCTTAGACAAACCCTAAAAATAAAAGAAGAATTTTTCAGATTCTTAGAGGACCAGTTGAAAGATATAGTGCGGTGGCTAATTACCAAAAAAGAGTAAATAGTGGCAAATCGTGATACAGTTTAGCGGCTTTCAGGGATCAAACTAGATGACATTTGAAGAGTTTTGCGTCGAAGGGCCATTTCAAATTTACTGGCAGATCCAAAATGGCGTCCAGGCACGTACTTTGAGCCGCTATAGATCGAGATCCACTGGACCGATCTAATTTTCCTTTTTTTTTGTTTAAAAGTAATATAAAGGTACGTACAACAAAATTACAAAATTTTTGATTTTGACAATATGCAGGGTGTCTTGTTCACAAAAAGTGGTTTTTGTGTATTTAGAAAAAAGCTTTTAACCCATATAACTTTTAAAAACGCATAACTACTGTCACTTAAGGCCTTGTCTCCACGGGACGTTTTCATGGGATTTTTCCCAAGTTCGAGTCGCAGGAATGAAACTTCTGGGATTTTTCCCAGTTACCGTCTCCACGGGACGGGGCTCTTTGCAGTCCTGCGACTAATATGCGCGGGAAGATAAATTAGTTAAAGTCGAGTATTTGACCGGGATTAAAATAATAATTGCACTCAATTGACAATTAGACAAATTTTTTAACTAAACAAACATGAACAATGTAGTAATGAATAAAATATCGCACAATTCGTTTTCACTTCTTCTTCTTCTCTCAGTGGGTCCTAGGGGTACAAGTACCATACTTAGTACTGGGAAAAATATTGATTAACTCAATATTTTTCCCAACTTTGTAAGTGAGATTTTTCCGTGGGACAAATCTCGCGAAACGGCTCGTGGAGACAAGGCCTTAAATATGTATCACGTTAAAGAGCGTGTTTTAAGCTTTTCAACGATATATTACATGATGGGTCTATGATTTAAGGTTTCCGCGCGACGGCACAGCGCGGCCTCGCATAAATTAGCTCACGGGCATATGTTGAAAAGAAGCCTCCCGTGGAATAGTGATGGAGTAAGTGTGGAAAATGGCTTAATCTCTTCTTTTCGATGTGTAGAAAAATAATTTTAATGTTGTCAAGCTCAATTTTCTGTCCGGCCCCTCCATTTCAAGATGGCGGCCAAAATGGGGGCTTGGCCCAGAAAAGACAAAAATATTTAGCCAATATTGTTTGAATATTTATTCAAACATTGGGCCAATATTGGTTAAATATTGAGCCAATGTTAAAAGTGTACACCATATTTTCTTTTGGCATAAATACCGTGCCAATACTTTAAAATACTTTGTTAATACTGTGAAAATATTTTTCTAATATTTTGGGTAAACATATTACCTTTAAAAATACTAAATAAAGATTCTTTAAATATTTTTTAAAAAGATAATTTTGATTAAAACATTATCAAAATATTGTCAGTATTGTAAATATTGCGACAATACTGACAATATTTGCCCAATATTGTAAAAATATTATGTCTTATCTGGGGTTTGAAACCTCAAGCGTTGCCAAATTTCCTTGGTTGAAGATGTTGGAATTTGTTTTTGATGTCGTATATCGGGCCTATCTCTATGTATTTTGGTCGTAGAATCCAAATTTGAGGTCCAAAATTGTCTCCGGCGTTTATTGAAGCCCAAAAATTTTAATATGGTGGCCAAATGGCTGCCGTAGAGGGTTGAAATATTTTGTTGAGGCTCGTATCGTCGAGTGAGGTGTCCCTGCATGGGTTTTTTAGGTCGTAAATTCCACTAATGAGGTCGAAAAACCTAAACGGGCCCATAAAAGTTCTCTAAGAACCAAAATGGTGGCCGACATGCCTGCCGCTCAGATGGTGAGAACGATAGAGAAGTTACCTTTCTGTCATAGAGGGATTGGCTAATGGTGGACTTTTTGGTATCGATTTATCTTAAGCCTCAGCTTACTTTCTGATTTTAATAAAAACAATTTTTAAAATTGTAATGAGAATCCCGCTCCGTCAAGTTGGAATTCCTTTTTGTCCGCTGAACTCCCAAGGGTGACCGTTGTATTCAGAATGAAGTAATTTGCCCTTTCATCGGGAAAAGCATCTTCTTGGGAAAAATCAGAGAATACGTTCTTGAGCATGTCCTCGATGTACTGCAGATTGCTGCCGCTACCACTCCGATGTACTAGATGACTACATCCGGAATCAGCCAAGTACATAACATGCACGAAAAAACGTATTTGTATGAAAGGTAACTTCTCTACCGTTCTCATTATCTGAGCGGCAGCCATGTTGGCCACCATTTTGGTTCTTAGAGAACTTCTCTGGGCCTGTTTGGGTTTTTGGACCTCATTTGTGGAATTTACAAACCAAAAAACCCATGCAGGGACACCTCACTCGACGATAGAGCCTCAACAAAATATTTCAACCCGCTACGGCAGTCATTTGGCCGCCATATTGAGTTTTTTGGGCTTCAATAAACCTGTAGTGCAATTTTGACCTCATCGGTGAGATCTACGACCCAGAAACCCTATGAAAGATATCCGACTCGGCACTTTTACGCAACTCTCGGAGATTTGACCCTACCGTGGAAATTTTGGCGGCCATATTGGATTTTGGGCATCCCTTTGAGCCGGAGACAATTTTGGACCTCAAATTCGGATTCTACGACCAAACTTACATACAGATGGACCCCATACACGACATCAAAAACAAATTCCAACATCTTCAACCCCCGAGCCCTCATTTTGGCCGCCATCTTGGAATGGAGGAGCTGGACGGAAAATTGAGCTTGACAACATCAAAATTGGACTGCATTTTGCAATTCGGAACTATAAATTCTAGCCCGATTTAAAAACAACGTATTTGCCATTAGTTTCCCCACGCATATACGTGTTTTTCCAGGAGAGTCAGAATTTATTGTTCCAAATTGCAAAATGCAGTCCAATTATTTATCTACACATCGAAAAGAAGAGATTAGGCCATTTTCCACACTTACTCCATTTACTATTCCACAGGAGGCTTCTTTTCAACATATGCCTATGGACTAATTTATGCAGGGCCGCGCAGATCGCAGTGGCGCGGAAACCTTAAATCAGAGACCCATCATGTAATACAGGGTGTTTCAGACCACCCGTACCAGGCCTTTTTCTCGGTTGTTTTAAGTCGTACGAAGTCAGGGACCGCGGGGTTAAATAGGGAATTGAACCCAAGGAATCTGAATTTCGTGGTCCCCACCCCCCCCACCCCACTCACCCTTAGGGAGTAAATNGGGGGGGGGAGGGTCACGACGCTAAAAGTTACTGTTCCAGACCGAATTGCGGATTAATCGCATCAGAATTGAAAAGCACGGAAAATTTCACGTGAAATTGACCCCTAAAAATCCATAATCGGCCCATCCAAGGCCCAAAAATGACCCCCTAAAGAGGGTGACAGTACCCCCCCTCCATAATTTCTCTTTGGTCTCAAAATTGACGTAGATTCTCCAGAAAAAGATGGTTTCCCAGGTAATCAACCCCGAGAAATCCAAATGTCATGGTCCCGAAGCTCCTCTATCCCCCCTTGGGGAGTAAACGGGGGGCCCAATTTTAAAAATCGCGGCTCCTTTCCGAATCGCAAATTGATTGCATCTAAATTGAGGAGCAGAACAAATTGAGGAGCAAATTGATACAATCAATTTGCGATTCGGAAAGGAGCCCCGATTTTTAAAATTGGGCCCCCCGTTTACTCCAAAAAGGGAGATAGAGGAACTTCGGGACCATGAAATTTGGATTTCTCGGGGTCGATTACCCGGGAAACCATCTTTTTCTGGAGAATCTACGTCAATTTTGGGATCAAAGAGAAATTATGGAGGGGGGTACTGTCCCCTTCTTTAGGGGGCCTAGGATGGGCCGATTAGGGATTTTTAGAGGTCAATTTCACGTGAAAGAGCCGTATGCAAAAACGACATTTTTCGCCCCCCCCCCTCCCACTAAAACTTATTCAAACTTCGTCTATTAGTTACTAATACTGGAGCGTTTCTTTCCCAAAATTTTCAGACCCCCAAAAAATTTTGGGGGGCGCTAGGGGGGGGGATGGAAGTCAAAACCTGTGAACTCTATATCTCTCGAACGAAGAAAGATATCGAGGTCCGGTTTGAACGACAAATCGTCTAAAATTGCATAATTCGAGATTCTATGGGTCAAAATCCCGATATCACATTGTAAAGGCAACATATGTGTTTTTTTTCCAGTTTTTAGGTCTAGAAAATTTCTTTTGAACGAAAAATGTACGAAGATCTCAATTTTTTATTTGAAACTAAACTGGTTTTTTTTTTTTTAAATTGTTCGTCTTTTTCCGCATCCAACGAGTGGTCCATTAAGATGGGGAACCAAACGGTTCCGGAGTTATGATCGATTGAAGTTTCCGCTCAACGCGCGCCGACCGATTTTCGCGGGCAAAGAGTCGGATTTGACTGTTATTAAATCAGATTGAATGTTCAAACTGACCAAAATGCATTATTAGGGACTCTTGAGGGTCGCTGAGTTCAGAAATTACAGATACTTCCAAAAAATTCACGTTTTTAAAATTACAGCTTCGTGCAGGACCACTGAGCGGCCGGTCGGCGCTCGGTGGGCCTCTAAAATAGCGCTACGGAGCTGTAATTTTAAAAAAGTGAATTTTTTGGAAGTATCTGTAATTTCTGAACTCAGCGACCCTCAAGAGACCCTAATAGTGCATTTTGCTCAGTTTGAACATTCAATCTGATTTGATAACAGTCAAATCCGACTTTTTTGCGCGCGAAAATCGGTCGGCGCGCGTTGAGCGGAAACTTAAATCGAATATAACTCTGGAACCGTTTGGTTCCCCAACTTAATTGACCACTCGTTGGATGCGGAAAAAGACGAGCAATTTGAAAAACTAGTTTGGGTTCAAATACAAAATTGTGCTCTTTCAGTTTGGTGTGTTTATAAGAAATTGTTTTTCCTCAAAAACTGAAAAAAAAGCACATAAGCTAAGTTAAAAATGTAATTTCGGGATTTTGACCCCTGGAATCTTAAAGTATGCAATTTTAGACGATTTTTCGTCCAAACCGGGCCTCAATATCTTGTTTCGTTCGAAAGATATCGAGGTTCACAGGTTTTGACTTCCACCGCCCCCCCCCCTAGCGCCCCCCAAAATTTTTTGGGAGTCTGAAAATTTTAGGAAAGAGGTGCTCCAGTATTAGTAACTGACAGACGAAGTTTGAATAAGTTCTAGTGGGGGGGGGGCGAAAAATGTCGTTTTTGCATACGGCTCTTTTCCGTGCTTTTCAATTCTGATGCGACTAATCCGCAATTCGGCCGGGAACAGTGACTTGTAGCATTGTGACCCCCCCTTTAGCCCCCGAGGGGGGTGGGGGGGTTTCGGGACCACGAAATTCGGATTCCTTGGGGTCAATTCCCTATTCAACCCCGCGGTCCCCGACTTCGTACGAACTAAAACAAGCGAGAAAAAGACCTGGTACGGGTGGTCTGAAACACCCTGTATAACGTTGAAAAGCTTAAAACACGCTCTTTAACGTGACACATATTTAAAGTGACATTAATTATGCGATTTTAAAAGTTATATGAGTTAGAAGCTTTTTTTTCAATACACAAAAACCAGTTTTTGTGAACAAGACACCCTGTACATTGTCAAAATCAAAAATTTTGTAATTTTGTTGTACGTACCTTTATATTACTTTTAAACAAAAAAAAAGGAAAATTAGATCGGTCCAGTGGATCTCGATCTATAGCGGCTCAAAGTACGTGCCTGGACGCCATTTTGGATCTGCCAGTAAATTTGAAATGGCCCTTCGACGCAAAACTCTTCAAATGTCATCTAGTTTGATCCCTGAAAGCCGCTAAACTGTATCACGATTTGCCACTATTTACTCTTTTTTGGTAATTAGCCTCGAGTTAGCCAGTTTTTGTGAACAAGACACCCTGTACATTGTCAAAATCAAAAATTTTGTAATTTTGCTATATTTACCTTTAAATTATCTTTTAAACAAAAAAAAGAAAAATTAAATAGGTCCAGTGGATCTTGATCTATAGTGGCTCAAAGTACGCGCCCGGAGGCCATTTTAAATGGCCGCCATCATGGCTCTACCACAAAATTAGAAATGCCTCTTCAACTCAAAACTCTTAAAATGTCATCTTCTATGAACCCGTGAAAACAGCTAAACTGTATCACAATTTGCCCTAAGTTGCAACTAGCCACCGCACTAATAAATGGACTGAGATTTCGAGATTTGGAGGAGCTTTCCGGGAAAATAGTCCATTACAAAGCATCATGTTTTGTCTCAATGTATATCATTGTTTCCGGCTTGCTGATTACACTGGTCCCAAAGGGTCGTGTTGCCGCAATGTTTTGAAGCAGTTCTCGGTAGGGTCTAAAAAATAGTTTCGAACATGAATTTCCAATAATCTTGATCGGCTCAGATTTGCCCAGAAAAAAGCATGCTTCTTCCCAAAAATAAGGCTTCCCTGAGAAAATAAAATACATGTTCCTGAGAATTAGTGCTTTCTAGAAAAAAAACTGCAGATCATTCCCATGGACTTCACCTATTGACAGCTGATGAATCAAAAGTCAAATCATTTGGGAATTTCAGTTGAGTTTTCTCACACCGAACGCATCTGTTAGACGATATAAATGCCAACAAATTAAATTATTTTTAATATTGGAAGTCTCTAGAGAGTACGAGGGCTGTCCCAAAAGAAACAGGACTTTTGTCATAGAAAGTGAACCGAGCGTTGTAATGAAGTTTTCTTGGGCTTGTTTGAAAGCTGATAAGCTACTAGAGATGCTTGTTTTTACAGCATGCAAAAATTCATCTTGGTAAGGAAACTACACGCTTTGGAATAAAGGAAAGTCAAACTCGAGTTGCGATTTTTGTCTTGATTTCAAGAAAAATTTAGATACAACTTTAAAAAACCCCTGGCTTTAAGTTAAAAACTTCATTGCTCTTTTATTCAAATGCTTAAAAATAAGGAAATTAACAATTGATTTTAAGCAGCTTACCAAGTCATTACCTGTCCCTTTCAAAATACTCACCAGCTTTGTCGATGCATTTTTGCCACCGTTTCTTCCATTGGGAGAAATACTGTTGGAAATCCTCAGGTTGAAATGATCGCAATTCCTTCAAGGTGTTCTATTGAATTTCCGGAATGGTTTGAAAACGTCGACCTTTTAAGGTAGATTTAAGTCGTGGAAATAAGACAAAATCACACGGAGCCAGGTCAGGTGAATAAGGGGGATGAGGGAGGACACCCATGGCATTCTTTGCAAAAAAGTCGCGAATTTGGAGGGATGCATGGGCAGGTGCATTATCGTGATGCAGAAACCAGGAACTCTCTCCCCAAAGCTCGGGCCTTTTTCTGCGGACATTTTTGCGTAATCGTCTCAGAACACCATTGTAATATTCGCGATTGAAAGTTTCTCCTTTCGGTAAATTCAAGAGAACACCTCGAAGGAATTCCCATCATTCAAATCGGAGGATTTCCAACAGTATTTCTCCCAATTGAAGAAACGGTGGCAAAAATGCATCGACAAAGCTGGTGAGTATTTTGAAAGGGACAGGTAATGACTTGGTAAGCTGCTTAAAATCAAATGTTAATTTCCTTATTTTAAAGCATTTGAATAAGAGAGAAATGAAGTTTTTAACTCAAAGCCAGGGTTTTTTTAAAGTTGTATCTAAATTTTTCTTGAAATAAAGACAAAAATCGCAACTCGAGTTTGACTTCCCTTTATTCCAAGGCGTGTAGTTTCCTTACCAAGACGAATTTTTGCATTTTGTAAAAATAAGCATCTCCAGTAGCTTATCAGCTTTTAACCAAGCCCAAGAAAACTTCATTACGACGCTCGGTTCGCCTTCTATGACAAAAGTCCGGTTTCTTTTGGGACAGCCCTCGTATTAGAAAATTTTTGCAAAAATGAGAGGTTGAATTGGACATGTTAAATTGACAGAAGAAATCAAAACTACTTGTCATTGAACTGAATAGGGTTCCGTTTTTAAGCAAACACGCAACACAACACTCCCCCGCCTTTAAGATGTCCTTAAAATCAGGAGGTAAGTGAATGCTATTAAGTTATCCCTCTGACAATGTTTCCTTGGCTCATGAGAAGATCTACCACTTGAGATGTTCCATCTTTTCCTGGAGACAACTTATGGACTAAAGTTGAAGGCCAACATGATAGAGAACACCTTGGATTCAGATGGTACACAAGAGTATGCTAGTTATACATTGTCCGACAATTTCCTGTGCCACTCGCTTTCCTTGTAATGGCTTGAAACGATATTGGACACTAGCTAATAGTCCTTGAGGCGCAACGTGAAATAGGCATTCAGGTTCCTCACGAATTGTAAGTTCTATTAATTCCGCATTGAAGCTAGTACTTCCCAATTGAAATAACCTTGTTGTAATTAGAAACATGCTTCTGGAAATGTATTTGATGGTGACACAGAGACAGTAACTAAACATTTACTTGTAGTCTTAGAAAAATTCAATCCTGAACCATACCACAAATATACTTCTATCAAGAGGACCGCCTTTTTTACCAAGGAAAATGTAAATATGGGAGACTTAATATTCAGTAAAAAATACACAGGCTGTTTCAAAAAAATTGTTCATCTCGACTCTAAAGGACTGTGAAAGACATTATAGCCCACATTATGACAGGCTCTAGAGCAAGTCATTGACTTTGAAGGAAGACCAAGACAAGCTTATTTGGTTGACAGTAACTGACTAAGTTACAGCAGTTATGGGAGACTTAATATTCAGTAAAAAATACACAGGCTGTTTCAAAAAAATTGTTCATCTCGACTCTAAAGGACTGTGAAAGACATTATAGCCCACATTATGACAGGCTCTAGAGCAAGTCATTGACTTTGAAGGAAGACCAAGATAAGCTTATTTGGTTGACAGTAACTGACTAAGTTACAGCAGTTAAACTAAGTCAAGTTGATCAGACCCCTCCAGGATTTCTGTTCCCAAAATAAAAAACTAGCAACATCGCATAAACCTCACATCAACGATGAACTTGATTATAAAATTGCAGTAGATTCATCAATTCTCTGTCAAATGGGCTCAAATCAGTTTTATTAAGACGTTGATTAATTGTTCTAGCGCCCCCCACGAACTGCATGTAAGTATCTATCACGATTATCAAGACTGAGGCCCATGGACACTTATTACGACAGCCTTGGTACCTTTTTCAAACCAGAATATACGTACCAGAACAGTAGGTTCCCAAGATGATTTTACTTTAACTCCACTATGAGTAGGGCCTAATAAATCTTCGAAAATTATACGCAATTTTCTTTCATCTCCTGTAAATTAAAAAATCAAACAGAAATTAGAACAGCAAACAAGAAGTTTCAAACATGTAAATCAAAACAGTAACAAACTGATGAGCCAGAGGCTACAGCAGACTAAAATGCACTCGCAAAAAATTCAACTCATTACCATCAATAAAAATAAAGTGCTCGAATAAGTTTTCTTTTCGGTAAGTGAAGAACATTTGTTTTATTCCATTCTGAATTGTCGCCATCACATTTAATGTTATGACCTGCTATGTAAAAGCTTCATGAAAGAAACTCTTTTTCAAATTTTTCAGGACCTCATTTATAAACTTGCCCTGCCATCGCACTGTAATACAACTGGGGTACTGATACGAGTAATTATGAAAAAACAAATAAATTTCCGTGCCACCTCTTCGGCTTATATATTTCCAAAAACACAATACCTCAAATTTTGAGAAGTAAACTTGGCAAAATTATGCTGAATACGTATTAGGAAAGCTGCACAGACAACCTTTGACAAAAGCTGATCAATGTCGATGGCTGAGGAGCAATACCGCCTACCTGCAAACTGAAGTTTTAGTTGGACCAAGGAAAAAACTTCGCCATTTTTGTAATTTTGAAGTTATATTTGCAATTTTCGTTAAACAGTACAGCATCATTATGGCGCTCCCATTCAGGGTCGGAGAAAAACATCAGCTGTTGAATACGGCCAAGTCACTAACTCATTTTCGCCAAAATTGTCTATCCCATGATATTGTTTCTCAGCCTTCAATGTTGATTCTAACCCATTTTTTCCCTCATAAATGCACGTTGACTGCATTTCAGTCATTGGCTTAACATATGCAGAAACAGGATGTGGAGTGGTGAGTTATCACAGATAACAGGAAAGCGAGCTGAGATATTTGGTGTGACGGACAGAAAATTTCTGAATTTCTTCATATCACTGCTCATTTTAGAGGAAGGAATGAAAGGACGTCTTTTGATGATGATCGAAGATGGCATTTGCTGGCCTATATGTGACGCAAGGAGGTAATGAGATGCAACGCAAGGGAATTATTGTTCCTCAAAAATCGAAAAACTGCTTATTCAAACGCTAATTTCTCAGCTTAAAATCCCTCGAATTTCATGTATTTCTGGCCTTAAGTCTCAATAGGAGCTTTTGAATAATTTATTCTATTACAATGGACCGTTGGCCATTTTAATATCCTTCAAAAGTTCCAACTTTAGTGGTATTTTCCAGAACCTCAATCATAGTAATTGAATGATATACTGGAGCAGAAATATATTTACCTTGCTGAAGAAGATACCTCACAGTTGCCAACAACCAAAACTTATACTCAATACTTGATTCTAGAGTCTTACATGCTATTAGTTGGCGCTCTAAGAATGCAAATGTACACATGGGTGTCAACTCTGAGCTTCGAACCAGCATGGAGCCACTGCAAAAGAAAAATGCTTTAGGATACAAAAGTTGGAGAAAGGTGGGGTTTGGCTCTGCACATGGTCAGCAAGACATTTGGTCAAGGTCTTTTCTTCAGCTGCTGTTGTTATTAAGGTTAATCTTCAGCTGTAGTTCCGAAAAAATCCACCACGTCGCGCTGCTAAAATCCGACTCCGAAATCAGTGATTATTTAAATATCACAATAGGTATCTTAAATTCTAAGACTCATAAGTTCTAGCAGCATACGTCTGGAATCCTTAGAAACAAACGCGAGCTTTGAAAGTCTAATAATAAAAGCTGTAAATTGATCCCAGTTTCTCTTACGGGATATCTGTAAGTGCGAGAGAGACAGCTCACGGTGGGAGAGAGATATCTGCCAACTGCTGAGAGCGATCAAGCGCGATTGGTTGCATCAAGGTCATCATGCTTAACCCTACTTTTTTCTGGGATCAAATTGCAGAGCTTCAGAAATGACTTTTCACGTTGTTTTTAGGGTCAATAGGAAGAAGAATGTTATAGCTAGAACTTATTTATCTTCGATTTAAACAGAAATTCCTTCAACTTTTATAAAAGCTCAAGGACTCACGTGGTGCTGTACGGACTCTAAAACACAGCGGTGGCGCCCCCTGCGCGGAGAAATTTCTTACTTCACGCAGCTGTAGATACACCTTAACCTTTAGGTGCGTTGTTAAATTACTTTTGCTGCCCAACAAAAATGGCCGAATCTTAGCGGGATTGACGTCATATCAACGACGACTTCAGCTCAACAGACGGGAGAAAATCGAGGTGTCGTTGTTAAATTCCCGTCGGATTCTGCGGATTTGGAGGTTAAGTTTTATTGAAATTTAAGATTTTTAACATTTAAAAGTCTTATTAACACCCACATTATTACGAAATTGACGCAATTAACGATTATAAGCAATTGCAAGTCAGTCTGGTGACGAGCTTGTGGCGAAGAAATGCGAAAAAATGGCGGTTGTGGATGTAAATAATAACATTACAACAATCCAGCAAACTCGGCAGCGGTCCACAGTAGAGTACCTGTATAGCGAGAGTATGGACAGATCGCTTCATGGAGGGCTTAGGGCCCAAAAGTGCAGCCACCCTTCTAACCAACTTCTAACGCACAAAATTTCACTGCCAGTCTGCAGATTCCAATTCTAACCATGATGGCAAAGAATGTACAGAAATGAGCGTTCTTCCGCGAAATTGAGTAAATTTATGCAAAAACTGAGTCAAACACGTGCTTAATAAACGACGGTTCATAACAATAGTATTAGTAAATCGTTCTGGATAATTGAAATTCATAGGTTGGCTGCATTTCTGGGCCCTAACTTTATTCGCAAAAACATCGGTGAAGGCCTGATGGATTTTCGGAGTTTCACATCTGTCCATACTCTCGCTATACAGGTACTCTAGTCCACAGCAGCCAAAAACCTCGCTGAGCTGTTGGGCATTTTGCTGAGCAGCCATCTTGGAAAACGGGTAAATCCACCAGAATTTACCAACGCTTTCGTTGAGCTCAACGCTCAGCGGGTAATTTTCGTTGGGCAGTTGTGGACTTTAACAACGCATCTTTTCAATCCATAGCAAAAAGGCTTCGAATCTTTCCGACTGGCGACTTGGACGGTCAACCGTTGGAATTCGGCGGTTTACCCCGAATCTCCACCGCGGCGGTGCATGTTCGGGGATCGAGCACCTCAACGTTTTCATGTAAACAACTAAGATGGCGGCGCATATTGCGCGGGTGTTTTGAATTTACGGATCGTGGGCAAGATCCACAGCTTGAGCGGACTTGAAGCAACCACGTACTTAATTAACATTTACATTTAAATGTTTTTTCAAGTTAATATTAATTCCTGATAGTCGAATGAAGGAAGTTTTCTCCCGTTAGGACAAAAGTTGCAATGTCGCCGTTTATCATTGCATTATAGGAGAGAAAAAGTAGCAGCCAGAAGTATGAGTCATGAGCGACCATCCTCAGCATCCATTCCTTCTTTTCAAAGATTTTTTGTCATCACTTATCAGAGATGCAAAATGAAATTTAACATGATATGAAAGTTCACAGATTTCTAAGGAGGAGTGTACACCACTCGTAAAATTATCTTAAAATAAAATTAAGAGTTTGACTCTCATTTTGTTAAATATTGAGATTTTACTGATTCTACGCATTCCACGGCCTACTGAGCCTATTGCAGAAGTTCCACTTTCATGAAATTTTACCTTATATGAAATTGCATGCAATTATGCATCTCTGTTCATCATGGAGCCCATTCAGCAGGCTATCAAGACTGAGGCTGCTTTAAAAATGTAAATGGTGCAAGCAAGAAAGGGGTTGGGCCTCTAGGAGGAACATACCTTTTCAAATTAAAATTTATCACAAGGGTGAAAATTCTCACACATTAGGCAAATAGGGATTGTCCCCTTCCCCTTATTCAGTGAGAGTACTAAAATTTTTCTGGGACAATTTTGGTCAATTTCACTGTGAAGTGTGAGTGTCAGCAGCGCCCAACTCCCTCCTCGCAGGCACAAGACTTCTGCAGTCAGATTCCCCGGGTCCAGCTGAAATAGCACAGCTACATTTAATCATTCAATCTAATCTTTCAAATCTACGTTTAGTTGTACGTTTATGGTAGACTTCAGACTTCGGTACTTGTCTGTTACGCATTTGTAAACATTTGTTTTTTTTTTTGTAACTGTCTTCAAAACACCAGCGCCATTGTCCGGTGGATTTTCCATCAGAGTCTACACACTTAGACTCATCACT